AAGAGAAGAAATGAAGTGGCGGATCTAGAGGGTTTTTAGTTTTTTCCTCTAAGAGAGAGCAAGGATACCAACATATTTGCTGCATTTTTATTAAATTAAACTACACTGCATATCTAGTTGTAGATTACATTTAATTTTAGTTTTAAACTTTTAATGTAAATGCCATACAGGCCCACGGTTCAAAAGTTGTTGACGCAGAGTACCAGGGGTTAATACTGAACATGCATTATATAATTAAGAAAATCATTTAATGTAGAGCACAAGCTTTTAATATCACGAGGATATATATTAAAAGATAAATATAAGATATTTTAAAAACAGACCACCATAGTCTTTAGTTGCTTCATAAAAGGAACATGAATTAGTTTGCGGCCGATTTTTGACGCTTACGTCAATACATGTTTCTTGTCTTAATTTTTAGAAAAACACAGGTACGTGTGGACAAGACCCCCCCTCCTCCTTGATATTGAACCCCGGGGCTTATTTCTCTGTTATGTGTAGCCTTACAATACGAAAAAAATCGCTGGCGTAAAACCCCCAGAATAATCGCTCAACCAAAAAAAACAAAACAAAAAAACACTATTTATTACCCCATTTTACAAGAAAGAAAGCTGTTTACGGAAAAAATGTGGGATTATTACGTGATGCAGAGTCAGTCCGATAGCATGGACTAAGACAGAAATCAGTGGCAGATTTAAGGGGGGGGGGGCGCACCCGGCGCGCGCCCCTTAAAATTGTCCAAGTTAGCATAAAACATAGTTTGTCGAGAAAATGTTTTAAATGTCTACTCGGTAGACCTCATTTTTACCCTACAAAACCTCTAGAATCCAAGAGCTTCCGGGGCCTTCGCCCCCTGGGCCCCCACCAGGGCTTTGCCCTGGACCCACTGGGGGCCTCAAGGCGGCCCCCAGACCCCCTACCTGAATCTGGCGCCCCCTAACTTCAATTCCTGGATCCGCCCCTGGAAATACATTGTATATGTAGAGACAGTGTGAATCGACATATAAAGTTAAAACAAAATAAATGCATTTAACACCGGTGGGGGTACAACGTAAACAGACTGGAGTGGCATATCCTTCTCTTATAATGTATAGTGGGTATTTGGGGGGGGGGGTGTTGAGCGATTATTCTGGGGATTTTACAATTTTTTGTTATTGTATACATGATGAATAAGTTTAATAAATAAAACTTGTGAACAAAAAATGCCCAATAAGCCCTAGGGTTGAATATCGAGCCTTAGGGGGAGGGGGGGTGGTACCTTTCACAAGTACCTGTGGTTTTCCTAACACAGGAAATGCATAAAAATTAAGTTTAGTAGACAATTCAAAAATATATATACTCCTGATATATGAAATCTATTTAATATTTAAGAATCTATAATATAAATAAAAATATTTTTTGCTGATCAAAATTCCATTAATTATTTAAATTTCCCTCTAATATATATAACACTTTTTCTTGCATTGTAATTTAATCAAATGACCCATTGATATAATTATATTGAACTATTTCGTGATAGTAAAAACATAATAAAGGGAAATAATCAAATGTTGAACCCGCTTTTGATTGGTTCGTTTGGATCTTGAATCTCGAAACTCGAATTTTGAATCTCGAATTTCGAATTTTGAATCTCGAATTTCGAATCTCGTATTTGGAAACTCGAATCTCGAATGAGCCTTCTGGGCTTTCGTACATAATTAGATACGATAGACAATCCCTTGTTTATACATGGCATCATATCTTGTGTGTGAAATGTGTTTCCGTATAATTTGATTTATTTACAAATTGTTCATGTTTGTCGTGTTGATGTGGAATTATTATAAATTCCCGAATTCTGATACGTTATCATTCTGTTGTTTTTGGAATGAACATTAGGAAGATGCATATACTTTCAACATTATGAAAAATATAAAGCAAATCGAACGCCTTTTTGTGTGCAGATCATGAAATGTACTGACCTCCACTGGTATTTGTTGTCCTGAGCGCATTAATCTTGACGCCCAAATTCTTACTTGGCTAGTGATACCTTTAGAAAACATGGGTATCTAGATGAAAGTTAACTCGGTAACATGCGCCATCCCATTGTTTAAGTTTTATTAGGAGATTACACCTCCTATACCCGATTTCGCGGATTCAACGATACCCTAATATCGGGTATTATACGCGATTTCAAGGATAATACCCGATTTCGAGTATTCTCTCCGACCTGATTAACCGAGATGATAACATCTAGCAAAGTCAACGTTTTTGATAAATAGATATTACGATATTTCCCAACACTTAGAATATTCTTAAATCAATAAAGTCCTGGTCATATAATTATTTTTTAATAATGTGATTTAAATGGGGAGTTTTGTTGACATTTCTATATTTCTGTGTTGGTGGAAAACTACACATGGTATAAAAAGTATACAGAATAATGTTACATTCTCATGAATCGATACCGTCAATCGGTCTAACAATATTACTGTTCATTTACTACAATATAGTGCTTGGCCGAAATCATATTGATACATCGGTACAATGTATTAACCAATATCTCAAAGCAACATTAATGCTAACATTATTCTTGAATGTTCGTCATAACTAAAAACATGAAATGTAACAGTTTTTAAGTAGAAAAAATTGATTATACCAAACATAAACTTGCACTATTGATAATTGTATTATACACAAAATTCAAAACTAAGGTACGTACTGTCTGAGCGCTTTTCTAAAGTGTCCGATATGAACTGAAGATAAGGACACTAAGAAATATCGAGACAAAACTTTACAGTTGTACTTAACTTCACTCATTGTCCAAGAAAACTCCGTCAAGGTTAATGAATATATAGCTTTTATGTGTTTTATCAACAAACATATACGATTTTAGAAACCATTTCTTTTTTGCTCCTAAATACACTGTTGCTTTATTTTTGTGAAGGTTGATGACTTAAGGTCAAGATCTAGTAAATGAAAGGTGCCTACAGATTTCTCAAATTTGAGAAATTAATTCCTTTATTGATGCTTTATAACTTTAGCTTGGTCAAATAAGGTGTTTCGGGGCATAATTTGTAGGTAAACAAGATGAAAAACTGTATTTTAAACTGTCATTTGCAATGAAAAATTAAGAAAACCAGTCATGAATATAGGAGTTTTTTTTCATATTCGACAAAGGAAATGTATCCAGATTGCCTACAGTCTCTCAGAAAACGGTAATTAATATGTTCTTGGCTTCTTCTTTAAATCATTGTCAAATTTAATATAGGTATCCGGTTTACTTTTCATATGATTTCAAATTGCTTGTCATGAAAATACCCTTTTTTCTACATAATTCTGCTAAAGCCGTAAAGTACGGGAAAAAGAAAGTTGAAATTGATTATGACGTCATAATGAATCTAGCACCAAAGAATTAGTCTAAAGTTATTTACTAGATCTTGACCTTAAAAAAATGCAAATATAGAAAAGTTTTAATTTAAGAATATGTGCATTTCGTGATATGAACCAATAATCCCAAAAAGAGTTATTTCCCTTCATGTCAAAATGGCACGTGCTATATATAGACAAAGCGTTATACGTGAGATACGTGCCTCCACTGTTGTAGGGACGAGTTGCTGACCTTCAAAAAAGGACCGCGCCTCGTAGATCATATATATAGCTAGGCATATGTTTCTAACAGAATACTCAACGATTCTAACTTGTAGTGAATTTAAAGATATCTTGTCAAATACCAGTCTCTAGCGAAGTAAAAACTCACTTGAGCCCTCGGCTCAGGTGAGCTAAAAAGAATATTTTTTCTAAAAACTTCTAAGAGAGGATTTGTAAATATATATTCTTTCTTTGCAAGAGTACATATTGTAATACTTTCTTGGCAATTTAAACGCCCAAATTGTTATTTATACTTTCTTTGCAAAAAAACAAAAAAAAAACAAAAACAAAAAACAAAAACAAAACTGTATCATATACTTTCATTGCAAAATTCCTTAATATATATCTTTGCAAAAGCCCAAATTGTAATATATAGTTTCTTTGCAAAAGTCCAGATTGTAATATATACTTCTTTTGCACAAGACCAAATTCTTTTGGAAAATGGGATACAATTAGAATGTATGAATTCCCGACCTTCACCTTTTATTTTGTGAGAGAGTGCATTTTCATTCATTTCGAAGACCTGCATATTTTATTTACAGCAGAAACAACAGAACTACAGTCTATATTCCAAGATATTTTCTAAGACACTCTCTATCATCACAGCAGTAGATTTCTGAGTTGTGTAAAAATGTGGTCATGAAGTGACAGTCTTGACTCTGTAATGAAATTACAAGTTGGTTTATATCAATAATAGCAAATTAGTTACTACATAACACACTTACGAAACTTACGTAATTCATAATCAATATAATTTAACAATGACTGTTAAGCAAAGAGTAACTTACTAGAATACAATGTACAGTGAATTGAAATCCCTGGGTTGTTACAGCCCTCACCATGCATGATTCTGATGCTGAACAGGTCTGATTCCAAACACAGTTCAGATTTTCATCGCAAGAGGGACAGGGCTTACCTAATCAGAAAGGGGCACATGCTTACAAGGGAGCACAAGTTTATTTTTTGATAATATGCGTTTAATTCCTCTAACTAAACACTAACAGTATTAAGAAGCATAGATTCATAAGTACATTAGTGGTTGCTGAAATTGTAGTTATTGATCTTGTAGTAGTGGCTAAAACCAAAAGGTTAATAATACTAGGTACTCAGTGTCTTCATATCTAAAACCAAAGAACTAGACAGAAATTGTTTTATTCGCCAGAATTGATAGATCGGGGGCGCATATTGTTTTTGTTCTGTCTGTCTGTTTGTTTGCCTGTTTGTCTGTCAACTTTAACCTTCGCCATAACCTTTTAACCATGAAATCTAGGGACTTCATATTTGGTGTGCATGCAGCCACGGCCTATTCTCTCAACGAGCAAGTTAAATCATATTGCACGAATTTGTGTATTTGTTAAAGTTGCTTGCCTGTATTAAATTTTATAAGTAAAATTTGGTGTTTGGCTTCTCTGATAATTACCTATAAATTTTACTAGTGCAAGGGCAGTGCAGATTTTAGAACATTCAGTTGATTGACCTGTTCCAACGAACTAAACTTTATATTTAGAAATTCGATTGTCTTAATTCTAAATTAAAATTAGAATTAAAAATTCAAAATTAAAAACAAAAATAGAAGAAAAAGTACGTCGTGTGATTGCTAATTAAACATCCGGACTAATTATGAATCTGCCTAAAGTTGTTGGCGTTGAAGACGTATTGTGGGATAATTATTTGTTGGTGTTTCTGTTCATGCGATGATTGTTGTGTGTTTTACTTGTGGTTGAAGTTACGGTCGGTGTTGTTGAAGTAATTGTTGTTGTTGTCGATGGTGAGTTTGTTGTTGCGGGTTGAGTGGTGGTTATTGTTGTTAAAGGTGATGAAGTTGTTGTTGCGGATGTTGTCGTCATTATAGTTGCTGTTGAAGGTTGTGTTGCAGCCTTTGTTGTCTTTGTAGTCGTAGAAACTTGTAAGTAAAGCACATAAGAATTTTTTTTCATTCTGTAAAAATATTTCCTTAAAAATCCATACTGAAGAACAAATTATATTTAGCAGCTTTCAGTCTCCTAAAGAAGTTTCATATGGCATTAAAACTCTATAGCAATTCCATGGGATAAAGATTAATAATAAGCATATATGAATATTTATTACTTAAATACGGTATTTTTTATAATTACAAAAATGAAACAAGAGGCCCATGGTCCTTATAGGTCACCTGAGCATCATGCAAAAACTTTCCAATGATTGAATTTGGTTTATGTTTTAAACTAGACGCCTTGGCATTCAAAATTTATAAAGAGGCGCCATTGCTTATCATATCTATTCACTTAGCAATTGCTTAGGTTGATACTTAATACCCATATGCAGGGTAGGGGAACAAAAAATGTATTTCGACTAATCAGTAATATTCAGCATTAATCAGTAGGTCCCTACCCCACATGAACCCCTAACCCTAAGTCCATCATTTCACAATTTGGAAAAGACACCCTTGTTTATCAAAAATGTTTGATTAATACCAAAACAATGAATTCATTTTCAGAATACAGGTAGTGCCCTCCTCTATAGCTGGGGCAGGGGTTCCATAAATGGAGCAGAGAAGAAGATTTTCAATTAATTTCTGCATTTTCTCTATATAATCATAAGAGCCCCGTCCTAAGACCAGTACCTCTGACCCTGGGCTATAGAATTAACAATTCTGGAAGAGGAATTGTGGCTCATCATAACTATGTACTTAGTAAGTTTAATTAATACCCTGGGGCAGAGAAAAAGTTTCTCAAAGAGTTAATGTATTTTCACTATATAATCAATAGAAGTCCCCGCCCTAACACCAGAACCCCTGACTCACGGGCCATGAAATTTACAATTTTGGAAGAGGCATTGTTGCTCATCATAACTAGTGTATATATGAAGTTTTACCATTTGAATAGTTGGAGTTTTTTCCTCAAATACAAAATATGTTTGTTCTTAGTATATGCTGTAGTATCTTCGGATACTACATGCCTAAATTAAATATTTCTGTGATTGATTCTGCCTAAATTTAGGTATTTGATAGAACAGGAGGAAATTCAGCTTGTGATAAAATAAATGATATTTTTTTCAATAACGAATACAAAAACATAATAATGTTACTCATGTTCACCCTTTAAAAGTTCGAGGTTTGATGAATGTGCTACTAAAAGACAGAACATTTATTAAATAGGTAAAAATATACAGGAAAATTTTCTCAGGAAGTGTAATATTAGAGAGGTTTAGCAAGATCACTTGTTCGTGTTCATGTACGTGTAAACTACAAGTTAGAATTACACGTACACGTTAACATTATTTTCTTGTTTAGCAAAGTATAACTTGTACATGTACTTGTAAGTGTTTTAAATGTAAAAGCGGTTTACATTTAAAATTCATCCGAAAAAGCAATAAATATAAATTTTAAAACGTATATCACCGTTTTACATAAATATATGCATGTACTTATGAGAAGAAGATTGTACAGAGCTCTTATATTTTTAATCGGTCAAAGTACAGTACAGTCAACGCTGTTTATGCATTTACTGCGCACCTCCGCGGTGTGAATCTCATCGCGGTTAGTACAGGTGTCTCAGGTAAAAACCGCGTGCCCCCGCGGTTCAACAATCCAGGTAAATCACACCGTCGCGGTGCACATTAGCGATTACAGGTGAAAAACAGTCTTGGTCTCAAACGCGAGTTACCTCCCTTTGAAATTATAAAGCAAAACAAAATATTATATTTAGACATAAAATGACTTATACCGGTAATAATTTTGATTTAATGGACCGGGCGAAATGAATGAAACCTGCAGAACACCATAATATACAGATAAACGTAACACTCTCAAATGTTTTCTATGGAAAAATAATTAAATTTAAATATTATAAAAAAAAATTCCTTAAACAAGCAAAATTCAAATCAGATATGGCTAAAAATCTTTTACATGTATCTCAACATAACTTTTCTGACTGATTTTTCTGACTGTGAAAGATCTCAACCCCCCCTCCCCTTTTCTGTTTGTTTGAATTCCATTGCTAATGCATCAAATTCTTTTGATATAATATATTTAGACATAAAATGACTTGTACAGGAATAATTTTGATTTAATGGACCGGGCGAAATGAATGAAACCAGCAGAACACCATAATATACAGATAAACGTAACACTCTAAAATATTTTCTATGGAAAAATAATTAAATTTAAATATTTTTTTAAAAAATTCCTTTTACGAGCAAAATTCAAATCACGAAATGGCCAAAAATCTTTTACATGTATCTCAACATAACTTTGTGACTAATTTTTCTGACCATGATTCCTTTATTGTACTACCGGTGAATACAATTGTCAGGTGGATTCCCTGGCCAACACACGTGATCACGAGTATAGTTAGGTAAAAAAAAATGTTTCTCCTTTTAAATGCCATTTAAAACGCCAGTGATATTTTTCATAGCTTCTAATGTCTGCATTTTATTCATAAGAACATTTCTTTTGCTTTGCACTCCATTGACATGATCATAGATTGACCTGAACCACGTATTCGAAGTAACATATAAACATGTATTTGGCGTCAATGTAATCAATCAACAATTGGTCAGTTGCTCGTGGTAAGATCCTCTGTGCGCATGAATAGTAATAGCCATATAAGGCAAACAAAGATTTGTCAGTGGACATGTTTTCAGAAGAAAAGACTATAGCAATTTCCTGTTTACTGCCAATTTTATCTATAAAACCGGTTGTACCCTATAACCTTTGAATAGGTAAACCTAAACCACGTGTCTTTAATTTAAATCACAATAACATTAGTAGGGGTGACTAAGTCCTACTCCTTTAAAGCCTCTGAAAAATGACAAACCTCGCCCTTCAAACAGTTTTGCAACCGTTATCAAAAATGATAGTGACTAATCACTATATCTCATGTTATAAACCGTCCTTTCGTTATAGAACTGGACGATATCAAGCAACAAGTGGAGTGCAATGTTGCCATCTAATATAATGATGGCGTTTCTGATGTTTTTCGTTAATGAACAAAAGTCGTCCAAAGGACCAATTTCTTCCATTTTTCTGATAATATCAGGTAGAACACTGTTAATTTCACTGTGTTCTGTGTTAGTCTCAGCATCTTATCCAAACTCACATTGCTGCTGACGTTTACTTTCATGAACTTCAATTTTTTTACTCTCAACATTTACACGCACTGTATATCCATTATTAATTTTTTTCTTTAAGTTCAGATAAGTATATAGGAAAGCGAATAGATTTATATATAGTTTTTTCCAGTTTCTGCGTTAAGTTCTAATTTACGTATGCTGAATTTTTTTGCTTCCAAATGGTGACATATGCTATGTATGGCAAGCCAAATTCACAAAAATGAGCTAAACACAGTTTCACGGTTGATAAAAAACATTATCGACTGTAAACTATAGATTTACAAATCGTGAAACTGTATTTATCAGATAATATATGTTTTATATTCGCTTTAACTATGGTTTAAAGATGCAAAATATAGATTAACACTGTTAACTATAGTTTACAGTCCGTAAACTTTAGTTTATATGCTAGTTTATAAACCTAGTTTATCGACTGTGAAACTATGTTTGGTTCATTTTTTGTGCAATTGGCGTGCCATAGCTATGGTTCAAAATTACAATAACATCTTTGTCTTTTTTAACACAAAATAACATGATATGTCTGCCTCTACAATAGAAAAGAAAACACATTAAATTATAATTATGTTTATTAAGGTCATCCTACTTCATTGGGAAAATCTATATTACGGTCATCTTAATATTTTGTTACGGTCATCATTGTCAAAAACTTTGAGGTTGTACTACAGCTTTATTTCCTTAAATTCAGGTAAGTTATAATAACAAGTAGCAAGTTTTCATTAGCGTACATTTGAATTTTGCAAGAATTAACACAGATAACCTGGCAAATGTTTGAAATCTTGACTGAAAAATTCTAACCGGTGACCTCGGCCGACGTGTTTTGATGACCGTAATATATACTACGGTCAGCCGCTTTCCTACAGTGACAGAAGTCACTTATGAAGTTTACACTTGCTGAGTTACCTATCGATGTTTAATCCATTTCATTGACTATAATTCTATCCTTATGATTTGGAAGATTCTCTGTAAAAGTTTAAAATTGGTATAGTCATGGTAAAAATCTGTGATGAAAAAAAATGTGTTTGGGAAAATTTGTGTTGAAAACGGATTTATTTGTGTGTGAAATGCGCAAAGCTTGAGCATTTAAATCAATATTGGTTGAAGTAAAGTAACCACAGATCGCTTGTCCTTACGCAATGAATCGTCAAAATGAAAAGTAAAATTACACATGGAGCTAAAACATTTGAAAATTGAAGACTGATTAATGCACATGTAAAATAAATGCCCCAGCGTTTTGTACTAAAGTCAAACCTAAGACATTTTTGATAGATTCGATTTACTTAAAGAAAATAATATTTTCCCGTAAGTTTGTAAATTAGATTTAACACGTCGACCACGGTTGGTCGCGTAATTGTAAACAAACACAAAACCTAATTAGCTGTTTTAGATTTACATGTATCACGATCAAATTTAAATCAAAGATAAGCCAACATATTAATCTCAAATATTCGACAATAATAATTTTCCATTAATTGTCGTGTTGTAGAATGGTTAAATATATCAATTATTTTGCCTATGACTGCGGGGTCAATGGTTCACCGCGGAGTGTCGCTTTAGATTTTCTCGACCGTGTGTAATCGAGGGATAGATTACGTAATGGTAAACACACTTAGAATCTGGGTTCCAGGTGAATGTGAGAATTGCGCAGTAAATAATTGTGTATTATTTGACTCTTAAATTTTTTTTTATGAGACCCGGGGCTTATATTGTTTTCGTTAATATTGTTTGTGTTCATATTTAAACGAAGAAAAGATGCTCGTACTTTTTTCTATCACTCTCTCTCTCTCTTAGAAAGATTTTTATTAATAAAAGGAAAAGTTTGTCATCGAATACTCTGAGCGGGAGCCAAAGAACACATTTAAAACCTAATTTTTAAACAAATATGATACAGCGTCGTAATATATTTATTACTTACGGCAAGTTTATTTCAATTATACACATAAAAAGTTTTCCTTCAACATGTTCAATAGCAAAATGAGAACGGGGCCGTGTTTACGGATCTAGCATTCTTTCCTACCATACGCAAGACTCGAACAAAATAATATTTTCATAGGACAGAAATGGTATAAAGGAACGATTTCATAATCGACAGCCAATCAAAATATTTACTGTTTTTGAGTTATAAAGCAAAAACTTTCAAGGCCCCTAGATCCCTAATTTTAGGGGCCAGCCCCTTTTAAATGATATCAAATGAAAGCTCTTGCGATAATGCACAACTTTTTTCCAATATGTCTTAACAAAATATTTTTTCTTTTCAAGATATAAAGAAAATATGTCATATTTTTTGCTGTTTTCCGCGTTCTAACTTTTGACCCCTCTCTAGCGCCATTTTTAATGCAAAAAACATTTAACAAAAACCGATGTGCACAACTTCAATGCTTCCTCTTTTCAATTTCAAAGGGTTTTGTGCTCCAGTTATTACCTTCTCAGAGCCTTTGTCTGGAAATCAGAAGCATGAAAAATTCAATCAAAGTAGAATAACTCATAAATAGAAGGAAATTTTCGAATTGTGTAACAGTATTCTAAAAGGGTTTTAAAAAGTCTAAAACCTCTGAAAATTTGAACAAAATCCGTTCAGGAATGAGGAAGATATGAAGCGTCAAAGTTGGCGTCTAGGAAGAAAACCAAAAAAAAAAAGAATAATAAGAACTAAAGCCGAGCTCGTTGCAAAGCAACGAGAAGGTCTTCCGTCCTGTTTGACCGGAAGTAATTTCATTTAAAAAAAAAGAGTAATGAAGTCCAAAAATGGGTTAATCCTCCAAATCTATGTTAAGTATAGCAAACTTAAGCCATTCGATGGTACTTCCGGTTTGAATGGAAGTGACGACGACGGACGGAAAATTAATATTTAAGCTTCTAGTGAGACATGTTACCCCAAAACCTGTCAAAAACGGCAAAAATATGCATTTTCTGACTACTTCCGGAAGTGACGTCGCCGGACGTATTTTGACGACCCCATTAGATAAAACTTGATATTTTGAACAACTTTGCTTCTTTGATGCATAACAAATTCTCAATACTTTTTGAGATATCTGGAAAAAACTTTTGGCCCCTCTAGGTCCCTTAATTTAGGGGTCAGCCCTTTTTTTCCACATATCATTTGAAAGATCTTCTAATTCTGCACAAATTATGTTCTATATATTTTAACAAAATGTTTTTAGTTTAGAAGATAAAAAGAAAAATATGATTAATTTTTGGTTCTTTTACGCGTTCTAATTTTTGACCCCTATATAGCGCCATTTTGAATACTGAAATCGAAAAACAAAAACCGATGTGCACAACTTCAATCCTTCTATTATCTAAAATCAGTAGAATTTCTGCTCCAGCTTTAGCCGTCTCTGAGCCTTTGTCTGGAAACGAAAGCCTATAAATTTTCTTTTAAAGGGAAATAACTCAAAACCGGAAGTAGCTTTTTGAAATTTTAGACATTATTCTGATAGGGTTTATTAACGTCTATAACGTCTAAAAATTTGAGCGAAATCCGTTGAGAAATGAGCGAGATATGAGGCCTCAAAGTTGCGGTCTAGGAAGCAGAAGAAAAAAAAAGAATAATAATCTTTACCAACAGAATCAGTAGAAGGTCTTCCGTTGGAAACGGAAGACCTTAATAATCTTAATCATCAGAATCAGTAGAAGGTCTTCCGTTGGAAAGTTAATAAGAAAATGCCATTTTTATAACGTTAAAAATACATGTATTGCAATGCATATCGCAATACAGTTAAAAATATCGCAAAATATAGCATTTGCGAAATCTTTGACCAATACACAGCCCTACTTTTTAATGAACATAAATACGAAGTATATGCATTTTTATGGATTAGATTAGTCCATGAAAGTAAAAAAAAAACTTATATGTAGCTACACTGTATTTTTTCAGAAGTTTTTTATTTTTATTTATTTTTATATTATGGTGATTTTTTTTAAAATTAGAAAGTACACATTTCATTCAGTCGTACAAAATTAGATGAAAATCAAATAAGTTTTTTCTTGGGGTATCCCTCATTAATCTACCGGAATGCGTAATGTGTATGAAAATCATTCTGTAACATTTGATGCTGTATCTACATGCTTTCTTCATTCTTTCTTAATAGTATTAAATTATAAAATAATATATATAAATTCCTTTTCTTCATTTGTTAGCAATGTTATTTTGTTGCAGTAGTTGAAGCGTTTTAAGGACACCTTCATCAAATTTTATGAACGAATTTTGAACACGATTTTTTGGTGTTTCAAAAGAATTTATAGCTATAATCATTCATTAATTGCAAAAGTTCAGATACTCAAGTACCTTTAATTAAAAAAGCATCTCATAAATTTCGTCAGAAACTACTATTTTCTGAGCAAGAGAACATTTGAACAAATTTTATTCAATCTTTTTAAGGTGATGAAATTAATTCTCATTTGATTTTATGTATTCAGTGGTATAGGAGGAGTTGCGGATAAGAGATCGGTACACTTCAATATTATAGAAAGAATGCTCGTTTCCATGTTTTGCTTGGAAAACTCAAAATATATGTCAGATCAAAAAGTAAAAAAAACGGACGGACGTATAGACAGACGTACGGACGGACATCTCGATCAATATATATCCTCCCACTTTTCAAGCGGGGTTATAAAAATATCAGTAATGAAAAACATTTCATAAGTCTTAAATAGCAGCTTTCCATCTCCAATTCAATCCCTTGAGAAGTTTCACATAGCACTTCATTTTTGTTATTAGTGATTCTATGAATAAAAGATTACATGTAATAATAAACAGATATGTATATTAAATACTTAATTTTGCTATTTGTTCGTAATAATGAAAAAAATCGAAATAATAATAATAAATCGAAATTTTAATTGTTCCATCCCCTTGAAAAAATGGGTACCTGTAAAGTGCGAAACGAAATAGAAACGAAACGAAACGAAACGAACTGAAACGAAACGAAATCTGCCGAAACGAAACGAAATCTATCGAAACGAAACGAAACCAACCGAACCGAAACGAAATCACGACGAAACGAAACGAAACCTGCCGAAACGAAACGAAACAAAGCTATCAAAATGTTTGGGGTTTTTTTTTCAAATCAAGGTACATATGTGTAACTGCATGTGGACTTTTTTTTTTACTTCAAATAAAATTTATATATATAGTTCAAGCACTTGTTAATATAAAATTTAAATTATTGATAAATTATGCTCCCTTCTCAGTCTAATGATGTATTTACATGTTTACCAGCTGCAAATATGCACGAGTATAATTTCAATATGTGCAGTATTTTCTAATTTTTATATCTTACTCTTATTTTCAGTCCTTATAATATTTATCTAGATACAACATATCAATCAAAATTGATGTTGTTACATGTAAAGGCTCGTTTATGTACGGGTCGAAATAAAGTCACTGTACTGTTGTATTGCGAATGTCTTAAAACATAGGATAAACCAGCGACTTAGAGTATTTAGTAATCCATTCCGAGGTGTCTGATTTTATTGTTCAGTTATACATGTAACTACAACCGGAATCTTGTGTATCCTTTCTACGTACATACAGTCCTATTTTTATCGAGGTAATTTTCGAGGAAGAAATGAGTGGTTTGCAAAAAAGAGGCTCCATAAGAGACGTCGAAAACGATTTAACTGACAAGAAAAAAGTATCTCAAAGCGATGTCAATTTTAAGTAGGTAAATTATTCAGTAAGATATTAATAAAATATGACATAGGCGTTGGAAACGGGGGGAGCCCCCCCCCCCCACCCCTAAACTTTTCTTTTTTTTGCAAAGATATTTATATAGGCATTAGCCTTTTTGTTGGTTACCCCCCCCCCCCCTTTTAATATCCTTCCGACGCGTACGCCTATGTATGAGTTTGAAGCGAAGCCTGTGGTGCTTGAACTATATAAATTTCATATGATGTAAAAATATACAATATAATCATTCTGAAAGTTTTGTTTCGTTTCGTTTCTTCAGGTTTCGTTTTGATTTCGTTTCGTTTCGTCTTGATTTCGTTTCGTTTCGGTAGGTTTCGTTTCGTTTCGGTAGATTTCGTTTCGTTTCGGCAGATTTCGTTTCGTTTCAGTTCGTTTCGTTTCGTTTCGTTTCTATTTCGTTTCGCACTTTACAGGTACCCTTGAAAAATGGATTCAAACACGATTCTACTAATATAAAGAAGAATTTAAACTAAACGAAAAACAGATTTAAATAGGTACTCTACCGGCGTGGCAAGAACATGGGTCTCCTTGATGGCGTACAGAGTCTGTTGTGATAAAAAAAAGTGGTTATTTTAAACGAAATTACAACTTTGACGACTCTGGATTGAAAAATGATAATATTGTAAAAAAAAAAAAAAAAAGATCTCTGATTTAGAACATAAAGTTTTGAAATTTTGAAATTAATATCTCATTTATTTATTGACAGGCTGATAAACTGGCAACACTAATTTGTGCAGGATAAACATATACATTTAAACATGTACTGAAAGGAAAAAGAAATTCAGGGTACGTAGCATAATATTCGAAATTTTTTGACCGCATGACCGAATCTAACGAAAATTGGTCAGATGAGAATGTTAGTTACTTGCACCAAACCAAGCGTTCAGAATGACACAACCGTAAAATGTGTGTCGCCATGTAGGGAAAACGCATTAAGTAAAAATTACGTGTAAATTGATGGCGATAAGTTTGTCAAGAAATCTTGTTGTATCATTGTTTTTCAATGTGTACGGACGATATGAATTCTCTGGAATCTTGGTACAGTTTACGGAAGTTCCATGGGGTCTGGTTTCGAATTGCCTAAGTAAGGACAAAGGCAACAACGGGTAACTGAGCACTTTTTTGTAAATCCCTCCCCATAGAACGTGTTACCCGTTGTCAAAGAGAGCCTGGAATGGTTTCCAACCAACATGACGATGACGTTGACGCAAAACAGAGTCACGTTAAAATCGGTTTATTCTTCATGCCACCTGTTTAATCGCCACCTTACTACCACAAAAACCGCTATTAATACAATAGACTATGTCGATCATTACATTCACCCCAAAACTGAAATAAATCAATTGCGCAATTTGGGTTTTTGATCCGGTCAACTTTACATTTGTGTTCCTGTCACTGGCGCATGCGTGCGTCGCGTCGTTTGACTAATTTTTCGGTGTGGTTACCCATGCCCAATAAAGCCAGGGGTCCGTTTTACAAAAGAACTTACGACTAAGACCAAAAACTTCAGGTTATTGTAAAATTTTGCAGAATTAATAATTATCTTTGAAAAATTTTGTGTAAAAATATCTCATCACGTTCCTTTTAAATATAATTTTCGATATAATATCAATTAAAAAGTTATATGAAGAATAAGATTTTCTAAGTCGTAAGTCCTTTTGTAAAACGGGCCCCAGGGTTTAAAAGACAAACACTCTGATGAATTCCATGAAAAGGAAAGTCAAGACTGTGACAGATGTGCAGGAGAGACATTGAAGATGATGAGAGTTTTCGATTTTCATTTTTGGGGGTATCGTCATGTGACTTTCAATAACTCATGAATTATAAGACGAAATTAAATGGGATTTTCCTTGGCTAAATTTTCTTTAAAGTTAGATAGGAATAATGAAAAAATTAAAAATGAAAATAAATTCCCCTCAAAGGTTTACCCGTCGTTTCTATTTCCTTTCAGTATATATAAAAAATGTGCTCTAATCTATCCAAGTAGTAACTACCGTTAGTTGACAAAACATGTGAATGGTAGTGTTTCCGACATTTGTTTCACGTACAAAATAAAACCAGTTATAGCACTTATTTTTCACTTTGTAGCATAGTGTATTACCATACAAATGCCATATCAAGTTCTCTGCACAGTCGTGACCATCATGGTTGTGTTCTACAATCTCAGCAAGTTCCTGCCAAACTGAAAGAAATTTTAAAGGCACCACATGAGTCGAAACATCTTCAATTTTTTGTGTTAAATTACAAGTTTAAAATCTTGGACTCTGTTATGGTGTTCTGACTTCATCTTAAGGACTTGTTTGAGCCAAACACGCGACTACGCTAGTTAGGAGCGACTACAATCAGGTACGTTACAATATGTATCTCTACTTTTATATAATTATTTAAAAAGCAATTACTTCATGTTGGCTTCAATTCATGACAACAATAATAAACATGTCTTAAAGAAAAGATATATCTTCAAAGTCTATAGGAATCGGTCAATATGAAGGAACATCTATACACCAATGAAAAAGTTTTGGGTGTTTAAGAAAATTAAATTGTAAAAAGTTGGCAATTTCAGGTTAATCTTATTTAATTTTCAACATAGGGTATCTGCCTTTATACCCCGAGAAAATTTTTGAAAGGCAAGCAAAGTAACAATGAACACAGTCACTATTGCTGACTTAAATAGGGACATGCAAGTGAAGTATTCAGTTACTTCATCTTGGTCAAATAAAATGCCACGAATTCTTTAATTGATTACAAACTGTTATATGCACCTTGGATTTCAATTCAATTCATTTTTGAATAAATGGACAGATCATAAAAACTACCAGTGTTAAAGTATAGTATGGTGTAGCGCATAGAGGGTCTTATACAACGTATGTTAGATATGTAAATAACATTGAACAAATCTATATTAGAAATATTCACTAACACCTTGATGCAAAGTATATAAAAGCAAAAATTAACTGTTTGCATAATCTTTCTCAAGTAAGTCACAACGACAAAAATTTTTCTTCGGCAATTTTTTTTTTGCAATTTTGTTCTTGTTCTTTTGATCTTGTCCATCGGTTCTTCTCTCTTTTGTCCCCTGAGCTGATAAATCTTTGTACCAAATCTTTAACGCAAACTATGCCGAAAGACCAAAGGGTATAATTCCAATGATAATCAAGTATACAGAGTTGATAACATTAAATTGTTACAAATACCAGCTGTATGCGAATGACAAGACTGCGACGTTGAATGAGCAATATTCATTTGGTCGAGGAAATGTGATATAGCACCTAAAATGAAATAGAAAGATAACACTTGTAAACAATGCTCAACTTCCCCAAGTACTTTAAATCTCATCTTATTATTGACGTTAAAGTCCTTATAAACGAATCATTGTATTATTTTTTTAAGGCATTATTTTGTTGCTAGCAATTATTATTGACGTTACATTTGAAGTAATACATATATTATTGGAGAAAATAAAATATATTTGCATAGTACTGCCAGCTATTCACTCTTATTCCTTGCGCAAATGTAGTAGTACTTGAATTAAAATTCAATAGATTTAGATTACTCAGATGTTTGAAATAATTTGCAAATAATATAATCAAACAAGTGAATAATGGCTATATTATCATTTTAAACTTGGCGAATAAATATACGATCTCCCATGATTTGTAGTTGGATATGATTTTTATCCAACGAACTGCCTTTTTTTTTATCCCCGAGCCTTGGCGAGGGGATAAAACACTCAACGAGTTCGATAAAAATCATATCCAACTACTAATCATGGGGGATTCTTTTTATCCCATGTTTAATACTTCACAATCAATGTTTTACATACTTTTTATTTATAAATATAAATAGAACTGCACTTTATTTTTCTTCATTAAGCTAACGCAAAACCCATTGTGACGTCACAACCGTGGGATACGAAAAATATCCAATGAGACATATCCACGAGATAAAGGGGTAAACATCGGATAAATAACGATAATATCACTGAGAATACTCATTCGGTTATTAAATCAGGTACTGAGAATCATACATACTTCTATACGGGTTACTATGGGAATGTCTTGCACAATCCCAAGCTCTCCTATCTGAAATCAACGATTTCTCAGAATAATTTTTAAAAGAATAATTTTCAAAAAAAAAAACAAACAACATTTCAACCCTGCTCTCTTATCCCAATATTATAAAAAAAACCCTGCCATTTGCAACTTTTAATTGTAAAATTTTTATCCATTAACTACCTCTATAGTTATTTTCTAAAAATGATTTATCGTCAAAATCGCTATACAATTTGCATAATGAACGTACCCCGGCCTCCACTGTAATGTAGATCAAAGCTCTTGTTACACTCGCAATAATCATCTGTACCATTAGGAAAGAGTGCTGCAGTACACGACAGAGATATAAAGGATAACTACACTGACATACATACACATTATGCACATGTATATTTAAGCATAAAGAGTTATCCATATCCATGGGTCCATGTCATTGGGTTCATAAGTGTTTTTTAATGTTCATTGCTGTTATAAATAACAATCAATTTATTTTATGTACATGTATATAAATGTACGTAGTATGATAAAACTGCAAAATTAACTCCAAAAAGGTACGAAGTGCGTAATTGTAAATATAAAGTGAAAAAACTCCCCAACTTAACGAGTATAAAATCTAAGGTTATACAAATGTGTAACTAATCATGAACGACATCAAGCCTGTACGTGTACTGTTTAAAAAGAAAGACTTTTCATACCTGCCATCTGGTTTATAACAGCATCTCTCCTCATACCATTTGGATAGCCAGTTTCATGATTAAGGAAAGACCATACTAGAAGACGTCCGAAAAATTATTACTTTTTAATTATATAATCGGTGGGATCAAGACTCTAGAACATTTTTGAACGTTTTAGTGAAAAATTCAAGAACCCTTTTTCTTGAAGAAATTAAAAAGATAATATTTTAGAGTATAAACAGAAAAAAAATATGTTTTGTACTTCTTTAACAAAGTATAAATATACTATAAGATTTTTACTTTTGTGTCACTTACATATTTAAACTCAAAAATAAAATTCGAGCTGAAGGTTAAAGCTTAAAAAGATACACACTGACCCAAAAATGGGCAAAATTGAAAAAAAGGATGATGCACTTCTCTCAATTCTTGACAGTATTAGTTTTAAAAATATTGATTCACTCCTTCCTTCTTATTCAATTGTATAGATCACAAGATACAATAGTCTCAATTTAAGTCCCAAGAAGTGGACTGTCGTTAATCCAAGTTTTCCGGAGCAATCTTCGAAAACAATAATCAGAAAATATTTTCAAATCTTTTTCAAATCAATTTTACGCTATTAATAGAAGTTACATGATGATTTCATTGACGATAACGATGCAGTAGATACATTCCTCTTTCCCCAGATTTCCCTTTCTTTGCTTGCTTCATAGAGCAAATGAGTTTGTAAAAAAACCTTTGGTATACTAATTTTTTTGATGAAGTTTTAGATTTATAATACAAATATCATTTGGAAAATATATGACTTTGACTCACTATCATTATCAATCGTCCTTTCAGGGACCTAGAACTTCGTGTAACTTTACTCTGTTACCCTATTTGTACTTTATTTACCTCTAAAGAATATGGGTTTTGAATATGTAGTAACAGTTTATTATGTATTTGTATTTACAAATGTATAGTATCGTCAAACAATTGTTTGTTAGTTTTCAGTTTTCTGAATATAAATTGTCTAAAAGAAATATTTTTATGTCTTCTTTTTAAACCTTTTTCACGATCTTGTTATTAATTTTATCCATTTATTTTCTATTTTTTTGCGCGCTCTCTCTCTCTCTCTCTCAAAATCATATTTTTCTATCATTCATTGTTCATTATTCTATTACGATTGCGGGCAACCATTCTGCAAACAAGATAAATCATTATATTTTGACCATTTATATTAGAAAAACATAGTACCTGTATGTTCACTGAGGCATTCTCCTTTCTTAAAAAGCTGATATTCTGCAATGATTGTAACAAAAAATGTATTAGGTATGTTTCAATTCAACTGGATGGTGATTGTTATGTAAAATATGCTACATTTTTCTGAATAATCTGATCCAAATAATAAGTGCATTTTCTTTTCCCCCCAAATTCATAATAGAAAAATTCGTATATCTAGCCTTTATCAATCATTAATCATCATAATCTTGGAATGGAATAACTTGACAATAAAACAACCAAAATAAACAGTTTAAACAGTATAACCAGATATTGACGATATGGAAACGATTACTACTATTTGGTTGCCTCAAAATCATCATTTCATTACACACTCAATCCACTCTTAGTGTATTTGTCTCAAATCTATTTATTGCAAATAATTTGTCGCAAATACTTTCTTATTTATACATATATGTAGAGTTGGGTGGATGCATAAGCAAAGGAATTTAAAGGTGCATGGACAAAGATTTGAAGTTAATGTTTTCTTATAATATTACAACTTATATATTTTAATAGCATTTCACACAAAAATATATCATGAATTTCATTTTATCTAAAAGTTATTAAAATTTCAAATTTTTAGACAGGTTTGATTGACACATCCTTGCACTTTCACAAATTTTAATTTTATTCTTAATACTTAGGAAAAGTGGCAATCTTGTGTATAAATTAAAAATATTAAAACTACAATCCAGAAAATTCAGAGTAGAAATGTTCGAAAGCAAAACATACACACAGTATATTGTCAGTCCATGCAGTTGTGGTGAGCAGACTTTAACAATTGAACGCACCCACTGAATCGAAAGCATCAACAATAACAAAGCTCGTGCCCTAGGGCCAGTTTCACAAAGCTGTCTTATGACTAAGATCTGTCTTAAGACCGAAAATTATCTTAAGATTGCACCATAGCTGTTTCACAAAACTTTCATATCTTATGATAATCTTAAGATCTATCAAAATCTTAAGACAACAAGATACATGTCTTAAGTCTAAAGTGAAACTAGCGACAGTACATATTTTTGGCTTAAATCCGAAGAATATTTAAAGATAAACGGTTTTTAGTGACATAACAATTCTTTGGACTATATAAGGCCAGACAGAACGATAACACCCCCCCCCCCCCCTAGGCAAAAAATAATTTTGCCAATAAATAAACAATAGAATACCTCAAATGTACCTACTTCATGTTTTTCCACTCTATTCATTTCAATGCATTTTTCCTTTGCTTGTGTCCCCTCCCAACTGAAATTGCTCCCCCCTAAATGCTTCTTAAGGTCATGTATGTAAAATCCATAAATCATATATAACTTTATTCAAAATTGTTTCATTTGAATCCTATACCCCGCAAGAATATCACAATGACTATGACCAAGTATAGCTAACTTAAGCAATTTTTAAGATGGCTAAAGTAATTCCAGATCCTGAGTTCGAGATACATGTAGTTTATTGATAGGTCTTTTTATCATAGGGCTGGGCAAAAATATCGATATTTCGGTATATTGCAATTCAGTGACAAAAAATGTCGTATTGCAATACGTTTTTGTAATATCAATATATTGGCAAATTGCTTAGACTAAGGAATTTCATCTTTAAATATAAAAATAAATGTAAGAAAGGTTGTTATTAAGTCAAACAGTAGCACAGAAACTGTTTTATGTGTGTATTTCAGAGCAGAAATCTGATAAAATCAACAAGTTTTTTCCCTTTTGCTTATCATATTTATGTATATTCTGCATGCAAATTAAAGTTTGTAAGAAAATGCCATTTTTATAACGTTAAAAATATTGCAATACATTTAAAAATATTGCAATTTATTATATAGTCTATTCATAGTCCCTATATAATATATACAAACGCAAACAGTTCATAACACTACATATTCACCGGATTTTAGGCCGTATTCACCGGAGGGTCAATGTGCGTGCAACGGCATTGTGACGTCACAATCAAAATATCAAACAACGTTGTAAACGATGGTTGCAACGGCCGCAGCAGGCTATGTATCTGTGCAGGAAAACATTTATTCAAACCTATTTCAGGATTATTCTTTAACATTTGGACGTCTTACACATAGCAAAACTTGGAAAGGAAAACACGGAGGCTACAAACAGTAATCTGGAGATTTTTTTTATTTTCAACAATGGAAGATCGCAAATGAAAATGGTGTCGTCATACAGCCTTCAATGTCTTATCTATTCAAAACCCGACTATATAATAAAACAATTATGGACTCTTTTGGTGTTGAATATGGTTTGTTATTCACCAGAAAAATATTCATATTGACCGAGGCGAGTCCATAATTGTATAATATCGCATTTGCGAAATCTTTGGCCAATACCCAGCCCTACTTTTTAATAAACGGAAATACGAAGTATAAGCATTTTTATGGATTAGATAAGTCCATGAAAGTAAAAAAAAAACTTATATGTAGCTACACTGTATTTTTTCAGAATTTAAGTTTTTAATTTTAATTTATTGTTATATTATGGTAATTTTTTTGTGAAATTAGAAAGTACACATTTCATTCAGTCGTACAAAATTAGATGAAAATGAAATAAGTTTTTTCTTGGGGTATCCCTCATTAATCTACCGGAATGCGTAATGTGTATGAAAATCATTCTGTAACATTTGATGCTGTATGTACATGCTTTCTTCATTCTTTCTTAATAGTATTAAATTATAAAATAATATATATAAATTTCTTTTCTTCATTTGTTAGCGTTGTTATTTTGTTGCAGTAGTTGAAGCGTTTTAAGGACACCTTCATCAAATTTTATGAACGAATTTTGAACACGATATTTTGGTGTTTCAAAAGAATTCATAGCTATAATCATTCATTAATTGCAAAAGTTCAGATACTCAAGTACCTTTAATTAAAAAAGCATTTCATAAATTTCGTCAGAAACTACTATTTTCTGAGCAAGAAAACATTTAAACAAATTTTATTCAATTTTTTCATGGTGATGAAATTAATTCAAATTTGATTTTATGACCCAACCCCCTTCGGTTTTAAGCTAAGATATACTGTCGCCAGTTTCACTTTAGACTTGAGACATGTTTCTAGTTGTCTTAAGATTTTGATAGATCTTAGGATGATCATAAGATATGACAGTTTTGTGAAACCAGCTATGGTGCAATCTTAAGATGATTTTCGGTCTTAAGAGAGTTCTTAGTCATAAGACAGCTTTGTGAAACTGGCCCCTGTTCACAAATCCTGTGTACGTTTTACGGGTGTGATCAATTTGCTAAACTCTGTATACAACACTTAGCACGGAATGACAATACTTGTAAAGGAGTTTTGCTTTCTAGCATTTCTACTCTGAGCATAATTATTTTTCTGGATGAAAGTCTTAATATTTTTCATTAATACACAACAAGATTGCAACTTTTACCAAGTATTAAGAATAAAATTAAAATTTGTGAGAGTGCAAGGATTTGTCAATCAAACCCACCCAAAAATTTAAAGTTTCAATAACTTTAAGATGGATAAAATGTTTAATAATTTTTGTGTGAAATGCTATTAAAATATATAAGTCGTGATATTATACATGTACAGAAAATATTAACTTCAAATCTGTGTTCATGCACCTTTATTAGTGATAAAAACTGATAACAAAAGTACAGTACTATAGATAAGCACAGAAACAGAAAAATAACTCACGTTGACTTCGTGATAGGAGGTGGTGGTGGTGGGAGGATTGTGTAGTCGTAGGAGGTGAAGTACCTTTATAAATGGATAAAAGTGAAGCTGTTACATGTACATTATGTTCGATGACAAGATCTAATAATAACATGAATGACATAAATTTCAAAGAATTAATATAATCAGTGATGTATTTTACTACAAAATAAAGAGAAACAGATAACATATATGAGTAGTTTGAAGTAAATGTCGTCTTCCACGATTCCATTTGCTGGTTCTTTTCATTTTAAAACCCAGACACAAAAAGAAACAATTTCATGTGTCGCTTAATAGCCATCTTCATTGTTATTTCAGATAGATTGAATCCGACGAAGAAGATATAAAACCTACCCTGAGTGTGAGTAGTGTGAGAAGTGTGAGTAGAAGAACTATTGCAGGCATTATGACAGCTTGGTTCGTGGTTATGAACATAGGCAGCTGCATTGGAAAAATATTATGTGAAGGAAGCCAATTTGAAAATCTAATTAGAAAGTTGCTACTATGTATGGTTATCATGCAACTTATCTTTATAATTTGTTTTTTAAGAAATAATGTTGTATTAATTATATTTACGAATATGATTTAAACAATATCAAGCATTCAATGTTTTAAAAAATAGAATGCAGTTCTTTCAGGGAAAATCTATACTGATTTTTTTTTTCTAAAGTACTTCCTGCTATAATTAGCTACATGTATAGGAGAAGCTTATAATATTAATACCGAACATATGAGAAACAAAATCATCAAGGCAATGGGTGTCCATATTTTTTAACTGATGAAGGTCTCTCCATACTGAAATAAAGGTAACATGAGTGTCATACATATATATATATATATATATATATATATATAAATATTTGTCAATATTTGAGCCACGTCAGAAATGTTTGCTATAGACAATTGTAGATCTGTTGGTTGAATGAATAGATCATGTAACTTAATTGTAAGTAAACCTTACATTTAGGACATACTGTAAAATTCTCCAAAATATGCCGAAATATATTATTAAGAAAACTGTAACTTATGTCTTTATCGGTTCTAAAACACATACAAATATTCATATTTTTGCTTTTAAATTATTCTTACTTTTGCGTTCTTTTCAAATCTTGACCTACATACATTTATTGAAATAAATGTGGAAAAAGGAAATCCTACAAATGTGAAATTGTATTTAATCTATTACCACTATGTAACACGTACTGTAAACCAGCTTTATTCGCAACGACTTTATTTCGCGATTTTATTAGGGTAAACTAGTTCGCGACGATTATTTTTCGCCACGAAGCCTTTTTTTTTTTGATTTGTTGATAATAGACACAGAGAATTTAAAAATCGGTTCGCGGCGATGACGAGGCTCTCACGAAACTCACGAAAATTTCTCGTGCACGAATAAAAGTTTTTTTTTTTTTTTTTTTTTTACAGTAAATGGATCTTAAAAGAGAATACAAGAAACTAAGATAACTACCCACTTTATCCGGATTTTTTTTGTGCTTTACGATCTTAGAAGCCGAAAAGGAAGCTTCAGTGTTACACTGCCTACTTGTTTTTTTTTAAAATCAACTAGTGCTTTCAATATGTTTATAATAAATTCAAAGCAAATCAAAAATACTACATGTATTTTAGTTCACCATCAATTAAAACTGAACAGTAAATTTACTGATTCTATTTTTCTGGGTTACCTCATATAACAGTTTATAAAGTTGTAAATTAAAAAGAATACCTGAATTGCATGTATAGTACTTAGATTTACAATATTTTTTGATCCTGACATTCTGAACGCACCTTTGTTACGACCATGACATTGTATTCTAGATGTTGCTCCGAATATATGGGGGACCTGAGTTAGGTATGTATTTATAATATCTATATAAAGAAAAGAAATTACTTTTATTAATTACCCTTTGATATATAGAAGTCATTGTTTATATATTAAGGTTCATAAACTCTCTGCTCACTCATATAAAATGTTTCTTGAATCTTAAAGATTTTCCAAAAGAAATGTATTTCATAAGTAAAATACAAACAGTTATAGCATAGCTTGTGGGGAAAAACTGGACATAAAAGACACTTCAGCTTGGCAAATCTTTAAAGGAATAATAGATATTTATGTCATTAAGAGTTATCTGTCTTAACAATGAACCTTAAGAAACAATATGTTTGCTGTGTCATTTTATTACCTTGGAAGGTGTCAGAGTGTCTACAGCTGAGGGAATAAGTATCTGTCAAAAAGTACATAAAATGGCATGTAAAATAAATTGCTAAGTATATACATGTAATGTACAAGTATCAAACCAGGTTTCTTACAAAGAACGAGGGCGCTTTTGATTGGCATTCGGCAGGAATCTGGAAAGTGAAAATTTTATCGACATGTCACATGAAATTTTAAGATTTTTTTTATTTATCGGGTTCATGTGCAACAGGAAAGGAAAATATTTTCCCGAAATTGAGCTTTGATTTGCTAAAAAATAACTTGAAAGTTGGCCAGATCAGACATTTAGTACAAAATGGTACATTTTTAAACACGTTTTTCTAATTTTTTTCTATCTCTGGGTCTTCTCTCCATGATTTTGAAACGTTATTTGTGTGTATTTTAATTCAAAGAAACGAATACACTTTTTTTAAAATGGAGAGAAGACCCAGAGACCACGAAAAACGAACTTTTCCCCAAAAAATCCAAATGTGTGAATGTGGTGCTTCTTTGTCCTTTTAAAATCATTTGTGTTTGTGTAGCAGTGATGGCTCAGTAGGATGGGCTGCTTGTTCAGGGCACTGGACTCGAAAAGTTTTTGGTTCGAGACTGGCATGGGGCATTAATTTTTTTCTTTCATGCAAACAACCATTTATTTTGTCGGTTTCGTTTTATGTACTGATATATTAAAATTTTGAATTAGATTAATTTTGGTTCAGTTTGGTTCTCGAGCGAAATCAATTCTAATCTTCTATTCTATATAATGTACATCATGTACGTATCATGCATCTATATGCATTAAATATTTTAGGTGTTTATTTTTTGTGAAACATTACTATGTTATAGTACCCCCTAGGAAAAATGGTCAAAAATGTTTCAATCTCACACTTTCAAACTAATTGAAAAAAAAAAACCTATGGACGTGTTTGTAAACTCTGACAAGCTATGTTCAGCCAACCAAATCATGGACATTTAAACCGTAAATGTTTCGTACAAATGATTCCTGCAGATCACACGCCAAATGCGCCCATCTTCTTTACAAATTTAGAAAATAAAGCTTATTTTAAAACATTATATTAAAATGCATAGCAGTAATTTGATGGGGGAAAAACGGAAAGACAACTTTGCATATAACATACAAGTATATCAAAACAGGATTTATTACAGTCAAATTTAGAAAATAAAGAATATTTAAAAATTTTTTTTAAACTGCATAGCAGTAATTTTGTGGGGATAAAAACGGAAAAAAAACTTTGCATTACCCTCCTTCTATCTCATGAATCAGCTGTGCAAGATAGGATTGTAGCAATGTAGAAATGTAAAGTGTAGTACCTGGACTTCAAACAAATTTTTAAATTTTTAAATTAGCACTACTTTGCACGGAAAAGGCGAAAATAACAGTGATCGATCTAAAGAGGACCCCCCCCCCAAAAAAAAAAACCCTACAAAAACAAAAAGAAAAACACAAAAAACTACGATCAATACAAACATTGACCGCCAGAAATTCCTGAGGTGGGATAAAGTGCCGTGGAGGAGAGAGAATGTTATGTTTATCGAACTTGTACTGCGTTTATTGTCCCAATGCAAACATGAACGAAAAAGATTATCTTTAAAAGAAATTGGCAAAAATTTGATATTTAGGAACAAAGGCAACACAATTCATCTAAATCAAATTGATACATAATGTTATTGACATACTCTCTTGGATGCCAAATTCTTTTAAAATCAAGCTAAAATTGTGTGAGGGATAGAATTTTGAAAGAATTTCATTTTTTCATTTTATATTTTTGGCTTCAAAGGAAATATTGTTCATAGAAATTAAAGACCGGTTTATAGAACTATGTACCTGGAATTTATTTACGCAATCATATTTGTCTTAGAAGAACTAATAAATAATTTGAAATCGACATTTGTTATCATTTTGAAGTCCATAAGCTATGGATATGTTATTGGGTTTTTACGTCTGTTGACCTAAATTGACTTTGCTCAACTTATTGATTTGTGTATGTTGCATTTTTCTTCAAATTTCTTTTTATTTTATTATTGTTTACAATCACAATGTGTGTTCTTATTTTTAAAAATCAGATATGCCTAATAGTCAACTTAACAGGATCATTATAAACTAGTGCTAATTGTAACGGGAACTGTTACAGATGTTCCCCAAACGCTCCCAACTCCCTTTTGGTGCCATATTCCCTGTAAGCCTTATTAAATAAGACAGCGTCTGTGCATTTTTGACTTAAACAACGTTTTCCCAGAAGGATACCAATTATATTCAAATCTTAACATTGCACGCGTGCGCATGTGAATGCACGTGCTTAATGATCATATCATCTTGTCTACACTTTCTATATATTTAAATATACTATATATTAAAGCATTTAGTCCAAAAGTATTAAAAATCACTCATTCAAGTTTATTTTTAATTTCACTCGTTCCAAATGCACGCACGTGCGTGCACCTGCATGATGACCATACCTTCTTGTAGGAGGCCCTTATATCTATCTATATTCTAAATCGCATCCTGTTTGGTTGAAAACCAAAGGAGTTATAGCCATTTCAAGTTTCAGCCAATCAGATTGCAGCACACGTGCATCCGCGTGATTTCATCATTTGTTTTCTAAATCATATTGTAGGATATCCTAATGCATGACTATGTTTTAAATTTCAAAGCATTTCATCAAAAAACAAAGGAGATATAGCCATATAATGTTTCAGCCAATCGGATTGCAGCACACGTGCATGCACGTGTTTTCATGACAATTTTTATATATCATAGTGTAGCTTATCCAAACTCATGACTATGTTCAAAATTTTAAAGCAATTCGTCAAAAAACAGGAAAGATATTGAGATTTTTGTTTCAGCCAATCAGAGCGAAGCGCACGTGCATGCGCGTGCGTTCTTGCTAATATGACATTGACATTTTATCTACACCATCAATATATCCTTATATAAAGAGTTTCAAAACATTTCATTAAAAATTGTAAAAGTTATCGCTATTTTAAATATATCTGTCATTTCACTCATTTCACGCGCCCGCACGTGCAGGCGTATGCGCGCAAAATGACCTTCGTTCCGCACACCTACACTACACACCTATTAACCCTAAAAAGGTTTTAACTTAGTTGGGTGAACAGTTTCTGAGAACACTTCCGGACAAAAAAGTACCGGAGAACAAATAAGAAATAAAGAATAATAATAATAACTAGAGCAAAGCTCGTTGCAAAGCAACGAGTAGGTCTTCCGTCCTGTTTTGACCGGAAGTGACGTCAACAAATGAAAGCAAATAAGCTAAGTGGTCTCCATTGACTTTATAATTTTGATTTTGTATTTAAACCTTCAAAAATAAGCTATTTTTGGCTACTTCCGGTCACTTCCGGTTTGACCGGAAGTGATGTCAACGGACAGAAATTGAAGTTTTATGCTTCCAGATACGTATGTTACACAAAAATATGTCAAGAACGGCAAAAATATGCATATTCTTACGACTTCCGGTGTGACCGGAAGTGACGTCGCCGGACGTATTTTGACGACTTCAACAGATTAAGCTTGACATTTTGAACAACTTTGCTTTTAAGACGTATAACAAATTCTCAATATTTTTTGAGATATAAATGAAAAACTTTCGGCCCCTCTAGGCCCTTTATTTTAGGGGCCAGCCCTTTTTACGAGATATCATTTGAAAGATCATGTAATTCTACACTTCTTTTGTTCTATATGTCTTAACAAAATATTTGTATGTGAAAAGATATCGAAGAAAAGGTGTTAGAAATTTTAAAATTCTCGACATGCCCATTTTTGGACCATAGCGAGCGTCGGCGTGCAGCACTTCCGGTAAAAATGAAATGCGTATGTCACATCTACAGACATTGCTCTATCATTGCTCAAAAAACACAAGTTTCTATCTTAAGCCGTTTTTCAGAAAACTCGCGGACAAACTGACCCCCTGAAAATCACTAAATCGCAAAAATCTCAAAACCGGAAGTGACGTCATCAAAACAAAAAAATATATATCAGCTTTGTTTGATGCTTTATCAGTCCTGAAAGTTTCATGAAAATCGAGCAAGCCGTTTCTGAAAAATCGTGTACACAAAATCGGTAAGAAAAAAAACAATAAAAATAATAAAAATAGTGGAAAAGAAACCTAAGAATAACAAGAAGGTCTTCCGCTGAAGACGGAAGACCTTAATAACTAGATGAGAAACTCGTTGCGAGCAACGAGAGGTCTTCCGTCCGATTCCGGTAAGAAAGCGTAAAAACGAACTGAAAAAGTAAACAAAAATTGCACACAAAAGGGATTGAGTTGCCAGCATGAAAATCCAACGAGCTAAATATTACAGTATTGGGACCTCTGCTCTGAATCTTCTTGTATATACCTCTGTATAACAGTGCTTTTTGCCTTAGAAATATGAAAGGCGAGTCACTATTCATAATTTCGCGCCAAGCGCTACGAGTTAATCATAGCGCCTTTTCTTTGGAATGTTCTATTAAATAGGTGTGATAGCTTCAATGAAATAAAAAATATGTTCTTATAGCCTAAAATTCGAGGATAAGAAAGTACCCGGTATATTCAACACATTTTACAAATTCCATATCGTTTGTAAGCAAGTGACACTAAAGCGGTGAAACAGCTATGGATTTTTAACTTTTTTAAAATTCCCT